TTATTTCAGTGGTGGGATCCCTGTGTTTTAAAATGGTGGACGAACTGATGCGTACGTGGAGGAAGACGTGGAGTGTTGATTTTCGTTCTGGCTCAACAGATTTTAACGCCAATCCAATTGTTCATCTATAACAATGATTCCTAGTACTTTAGTTTTCATTCGAAGAAAAATCTCCTTAGTTTTGAGAAATGCTTTGTACTTCAGACACCGAAAGACGTCCTTTGGGAAACTCCTGCTGAAGCTGTTGTTGGTATTTTTGGCAGCTTTGGCTATCTACTATATCATGCATTATAAGCTTATTGTACACTGGCTATTTGCAGTGCGAMTTAACCGCAGTAAGTATTATTTCACCGTCTTTCACTGCATGACAATTTGACAATGATATTTAAAAGTTWTAAAGTTTTAAAGTTAAATTTCTAAATACTTAAGCTTAAGTTAAACTTTATTTTAAGCTTAAGTAAGATTACAAGGCAGTTAACSCTTCGTGCATGCGATTTTTTCCACTGAGCTTTTTTCTCTCCCTCAGATGATTAATGCTTTGACTGGAATTTACGTGTTGACGATCCAAATAATAGTGTGTAACATGAAAAATCTGCTGAATAATAAATTCATATGCTAATTCTATTGTTTTCTGATCCGCTAGCAGCACTTGCACTAAATTATGAATGAAATCTTTCAATATGCAAATGATTTGATGTCAAGGAAGGCTTCATTAAATAGGTTTAACTATAACAAATGCAAGCAGAATTTGTAAACAGAAAGTTTGTGTTTCATTGAGTATAATTACATTGTTGACAAGATTGGGATACGAACTTTGAAGCAGTTGGAAGTGTTTTCATGCATATGGTAGCTGGATGGTTATCATAGCCCCCAACAAAGAACACGCCTGCAGGCAGTCTACAGCAGATGCTAATATTTGTAGCTTGTCTGAGTGCATAATTAATGTMATAAATTAAATGAAAATGTATCAATTGTATTGAATATTTTCCATTTGCAGTCAGTAAAATCAAAGCAACGATTTGAAAAACATTTCTGACATCATTCATAGCATGCATATAAATATTTGAGTCCTGCTAAAGCGTGGATTTCACTAGTGCATTTAAGCATTAGGCATAAGTACAAGTTAGCATAAGAGTCATATTGCGCCAGTGAGAACAGGCTCGGAATAAGCATAAGCATGAGCACAAGAAAAACGAGCAAGGCTTGATCTTCTTGTACTTATCTCATGCTTATGCTCAGTGAGAACGGGACTGCATAGGCATAAGCATAGCTGTTACCAAAATAATATGCTCGTGCGCATGCTCAATGTCTTATGCTTATGTTGAGCCCGTTCTCACTGACGCATATGATTCTCATGCTTGTGCTTATGTCTATGCTTATACACTAGTGAAATCCATTCTTAACACATCGCTTTGTATGTTGACACCAAATTCAAATCCTGTGGGRAAAAGAACTTTAATTTGTTGAATGCAACTTATTCCCGGGTGGTTTGACACATTTATAGCAACGAGTATATATTACTCCATTTTAAAGTTCAAAGCACCATCTTGAAAAGTAACTATTGATGGAAACCTTTTATAATTATTCACACCCAAGACAATTATTCACAGGTATCTATCACTGCAAGCTCAACTTCTGTCTTGCTTTGATGCAAACGCTCAGCAACCTTTCAAGATGGTGCTCGGCACTGTAAAATGTTSTTTAACTTTGTAAAGAATCAACTCCAAATGTCAGAAAAATTAAGAATCGATTTGTGTTCAATTTAGAATTCTTTTCAAGTGACAATCTCATTGAACCAGTTACCAGAGAACATTTCCAACAATACTGTAATTTCCCCRTCAATGAAAGTGCGATGGAAGGAAAACTCCCCATTAATGCCAAAGACTTCAAACTAGAATCAGTCCAGATATTAATCAGGCATGGAGATCGTTCACCCATTTTTAACCTTGAAGGCTTGAAAAAGGAAAAACTTTACTGTTCAATGAAMTCAAACCGAAAAGATGCAAAGAAACTGTTCGATAATTTTCTCAAATCTTTAAAGTATATCAGTACTAGASCAGCTACTCCCGATTCTAAACYGCACAAGCTGTCAAGTGTTTCTGATATCTGTGAATATAATGGACAGCTGACTCAAAGAGGTTTCCACCAACTGCTTCAAATAGGACAGTTCCTCAGGAAAGCTTACAGTAATTTGGAAGTTAAAAGTAGAAATAACATCTACGCAAGGTCTACTGACTATGACAGAACTGCACAAACTGTGGCTGCATTACTTTCAGGGTTTTTAGGAGAAAAAGGAGTCAATATTGGTAAGGAGCATTATTATATAATTTTAATTATATTAAATATTGTCTGAGTGCATGAAACTCGGAGTAACAGCAAAATCTTGCCTCTGATATTATATATTATTTTTATATTAGTACTTTTCAGTCTTCTGTGTGTAAAATGGATAAACCATGTTTTTGGCCTCAGCAGCCGTTCTCAAGGTTGTAGTACATGTGATGATCGAATCCATGCCGCTAGAGTGCACGTCACATAAGCATGAAACAATTCTTAATATGTATTGCTAAATAAGATTTAGTTATCAACTARCTAAGAATTCAACAAAGCATAAACACAATGCCAATTATTTAAATTYCTTTGTAGCATTGTTCTCAATTTTTAGTTAGTTGATAACTAAATCTTATTTAGCACTACATAGTTAAGAATTGTTTCATGCTTATGTGACTTGCACTCTACTACCTTGAAAATAAATGGCTGMATAGGCCAAAAGCTCAGTTAAAAATAAATTTATTTTACACAAAAGACTCAAAGTATTAATAATAACATGCCTGTGTAAAAAAAATCAGTTAGCAATAATTTTATTTATTTTTATTGATGAAATATGAGTGGGGGGGGGGGGGGGGACTTTATGGTAAAATTTAGCACCATTAGATTTTTAATGCTTGTATTAGTCAATTTTTGAATTGTTTTTTCTTCCATTTATCCAGTGCCCATATTTTTCTAGCCTCCTTTAGCAGCCGCCCCTGTGTYGTCACGCAAGGGGCGGCTGCTAAAGGAGGCTAATATTTTTCCTGCTTCTTAGGTTCTTCCCTCATATTTTCTCTCTTTAACTAAAATTCACTATCCTTGCAACACCACGCTTTTTCAATGTTTTAAAATTGCAGGTAAAATCTYCATAAACATTACAAAAGACACTTATTTCAGAGAGGACGATGTTGGTTCWACCAAATCATGTCCAGCAGCAAACCCTTCAGTAATGAAATCCAAAATGCCAAAAGAATATGAAAAAGGCATTGCAGATATGGAGCCATTAATGAACGAGATATCAGACACTTTGCTGGTCACACGAGAATCACTTCCATCAATTAATTTGTAAGTAATTTGTGATTTTGAATTGGTCTTCCAGGAAAGACCTAGTAGAATAGAGTACACATCACATAAGCATGAAACAATTCTTAATATGAATGGAACACTTTTAGTTTGCCACGGGCGATAGTTGAATAGTCTATGTTTTTTTGCGCACTCTTCTAGAAGAACGTTAGCGCGCGCTATCAGTGAGCGTGCAATGCATATTTTGAAATAACGCATACAACGGATGTTATATTAGAAAAGTCTTGTAACTGAGGAGGTTTTACAATAAAACGAAACTAGTTTTACAGANTAGAGTGCACGTCACATAAGCATGAAACAATTCTTAATATGTATTGCTAAATAAGATTTAGTTATCAACTAACTAAGAATTCAACAAAGCATAAACACAATGCCAATTATTTAAATTCCTTTGTAGTAGCATTGTTCTCAATTCTTAGTTAGTTGATAACTAAATCTTATTTAGTACTTCATAGTTAAGAATTGTTTCATGCTTATGTGACTTACACTCTAGGTGGCAGATCCAGCCCAGGCAGGTGCAGACTCCTTTGTGAGACTATTCCCTTTTTTGTGTTTCATTTATGATCTGTTAAAATTTCTGTGGTGTACATCCTTATTATGGGGGACCTACATCCGGGGGGGAATACTTCCTTGGGTGGGGGTGTGCTGCATGACCCTCAAAACCCTTACCCTATCCCAGACCAATTTTTGTGATTTTACATACCCTACCCCAGACTTAAGGTACAAGGGTACATTATTTTATCACAGGCAAAACTCCACCCTACCCCAGACAATGAGACTATACCCTATCCTAGACAAAAAAAAAACGGGCTTCCTGTGTTAGATCAGTAAAGGAGGAGGACTGGTARCAATTGCAAGGAATTATCCCACAGGGAACCCGAAAGATATAAAAACTGCTGCCAAGGAAACTAGTATTGTTTTCATATTTTGTTTTCTTTACTATTTTTGCTATTTCAGCATCACTGACTATCCTCTGGCCTACTTCTGCCATGGCTATGACTATCCCTGYGGGCGAAATGGCTGTCTCACAGAAACGAAATCCTTTCAAATGTTATCCTATTCAAACTGGCAGTTYTMCGCTAAATATAAACATTTYAGCGATGTACTTTCACTTCCGGTTCTMACYCAGATAGGYTCCCGGATGTTATCAAAAACMCGTTCCCAGTCGCCTATCACACTTGCCATATATGGAGGACACGAGAGCTCCATCATTCCAGTGCTCCAGTCCTTAGGGACGTATAACAAACGATGGATTCCGTACGCCTCGAGATTGGTATTTGAACTTTGGAGTAAAAATTCTGACAAAGAAATGTATGTGCGGGTTTTATTCAATGGCGAAGCTGTCACGCATAAACTAACATTTTGTTCCTGGTATGCTGTAAATGAGCTTTGCCCTCTTAACACTTTCCTGAATTGGATTGGGGGAGGTCATTTTGAGAATGCGTCATGGCGATATGATTATTTATGCAACTGGAGGTCTTGATGAGGTTCAAGCCAAGTTCAGTACTTTTCATGTTCGGTTTGAAATTTCGTCAATAGACCCCCTTGCAGTTCGTGGGAATGCAGTTCCAACTGGAGGACAAACGAATAGATTCTAGTTCTTAAGAGGGCAAAAATCTTTTGTTTTGTCCTCCAGATGAAGCTGCCTTGACGTCACATGCAAGGGGTCTATCTCATCAATATACACCTAATTGAAGAAACGTTGTCGGGTCCAAAAACAAAAAGGTCAAATCATAGAAGCTAAGACCGAAAGGGTACTTGGGAAGACAAACAATTTGGCTAATTTATAACAAACAGCTCTCCAGCATAAAAGACTATCATGCTGTTAATCTTAMTAGCTCTACTTGCTTAGTGTACACCGTATATATGCAAATGTAATCCCAATTTAGTGGTACTCAAAATCCCTTTCGGTCTTAGCTTCTATGATGTGACCTTTTCGAACACGACTACGTTTTTTCAGTTAGGTGTATACCATGTTTTTCTTGTAATTTCTTCACTCCCATGGTTAAGTATGTGTTTTCAAAGAATATGGGCATTGTATACGGGGAATAATATTTGGGTCTAAATTTTTCAAAAATGTTCTTTTTATTACTTAWAGGCCCAGTATCACCCTGCATGCTTTGCGACCGTTCGCTTTTATTTGAAAGGATTGGTGGATTAAGAAATACAAGCTTAATTGCCTCTGGTGATGTGGAGTCACGCCACATCTGACACGTCTGAGTAAAACAATTCTTAAGTAATTTGCGGCTAAAAAAATTTAGTTATCAACTAGAGTGCAAGTCACATAAGCATGAAACAATTCTTAACTATGTAGKGCTAWAYAAGATTTAGTTATCAACTAACTAAGAATTGAGAACAATGCTACAAAGGAATTTAAATAAATGGCATTGTGTTTATGCTTTGTTGAATTCTTAGTTAGTTGATAACTAAATCTTATTTAGCAATACATATTAAGAATTGTTTCATGCTTATGTGACGTGCACTCTAATTAAGAATTAATTGAGGCATAAACAAAGACAAGTTTCCTTTCTGGCATTGTGTTCATGCCCCAGTGAAATCTTAGTTAGTTGATAACTAAATCTTATTCGTTGTTGATTGTTAAGAATTGTTTGACGCTTTTTGTCGTACACTCAACGCGAGTAACTTTGCAAATTTAATTTCATAAATTTTTAAAGGCTATAATACCTGTTAATACTCTAAAATAGCTGTCAATGAAGATAATTTCGTCTCGCATAAAATCAGTTACATGACAAGACACGCAAAGCATCCAGGGTAATACAAAAATTAAAAATTAAAGAAATTTTAATTCTTAAAAGCATTATATATTATGAATTATATACTTTAACGAACTTTAATGCTTAAAAGCATTATAAATTATATACTTTAACGAACTTTTTTATGCACAACAAACCTGACGTGTCTTTTTCGTTCCCGAGGGGAAGTTCATTTAAAATCCATAGAGATGGTTGGCAATAACGAATAGACATTTTGGAGAAATACTCGCCACTACGATTAGCAGTTTCTGGTGAGTTTACTTCTCAGTATCAAGTGAATGAGTGAAGAAATCGAAAGAAGCAAGAGTCGGTCCACAAAGTGAAAACTTAGCGCGCTTTGAAATGGATGCCGCGTTTTACGATAGACGCTTTCAAAGTCATTCGTAAATATCAGCAAATTAAACATCTGTCTCAGAAAATTAAAAAAAAGGAATTAAGAGGCCAACCATTAGATTTTTGAGGGAGGGGTGGGTAGTCCTGCATAGCGAAGTTTCCAATCGTGGCAATTTTACCAAATCATCCCCTCCCTTCCCCACACCAACCCTATCAAAAGTCAAATGGCCAGCCCTATTTAGTCAGCTTCATCATGAAGCAACAAAGCCGACTTGCGAATTTCGCTGGCCTTAGTAGTCACACACAAAGGAATCAAGACGAGGCGCCGTGCATAAAGCTCAGTCAATCTTGAAAAGACAATAGTTTTTCTCAATCGACTGAGCTTTACGCACAGCGCCTCGTCTTGATTCTTTTGTGTTTGACTCCTGAGGCGAAGTTCGCAAGTCGGCTATTGCTTAAATTCTATTACCAAGCCTCGATACTTGTAGGGGAGGGGAGGGTCCGGCGATTTATTTGTGCGCGACACAGATATTCATATGCAAAAACGTCTTGTTCGGATTGACCCCAAGCGAGATCAGCACTGCAAGATCATTGAGCAGAAAGTTTCGACAAACAAAGGTAAGAGAATGTCTTCCATTTCATCAATTTATAGCTCTAACTTTACTCTATATCAACCTTTTGAAATATGCCGTTATATTCGATTAAGTATTTCGCGTTTCAGCAGAAATTACCATTAGATTAGCTGAAACTAMTCTGATTTTGTTTCACTTTTGAGGTCGAAACTCTCAACGGCACAAATATCCTTTGACTAACTATTCTTCGTTTTCATATGACCTCAACAAAAGAGCGATATATGAAATTTAAATCGAATAGAAACGCCAGTTATATATATGTAACAGATAACGATTATTGGCAAGGTTGGGTTCATAAAGTTTTTTAGTAATCCACGGATATTTAGCCTTGATTGGTGTCACGCAATGGCAGTGACGTATCCAAGTCGAATGATAAAATCGAGCCTCATGTAGTATCCTTGTATCCATTTTAAGTGTATTATATTATAGAAAATGATCGAAAGTATTCCATTTTCCCTTCTTCCCAGACCTTTAGGATATCTGCATCCGCCATGTTGTCCAGCATGGCTTCCGCATACATTCTTTACCAAATATTAACATGCATATTCAATGGGAGATGATTCAGTAACGAGGCAATGCACGAACTCTAAACTTCGCAGATATACGTAGTTTCGAATGTTCTACAAGAATATGAATGTTATATGAGGGTCTCAATGGGGGGGTACGCATCACGACTCACGGCTAAAAATTTGGCTTTTTCACGCCTCACGGCATATTGTTTTCACATTTCCACGACTCACGGCTAATTTTTCAGCCGTTTCACGGCTAATTTTTCTCATTTTTACGATTCACGGCTAATTTTTCAGCCGTTTCACGGCTAATTTTTCTCATTTTTACGATTCACGACTAATATTTTAGCCGTTTCACGACTCACGGTTAACCCCATTGAGACCCTCTTATATTTCAGTACTGTTTATGAATAAAGCTTTTGAAATTCGAGACGAGAGGTCATTATTGCCTGAATTATCACGTGATTGAAAACRAAGAGTCTACGAGTTATGATGTCAAGAGATCACGGAAGAGCACTGTCACCGCGCCAAATAAAGATCAACCTTGTTCCCAGGGCTTCTCTCCTCGCTTTTTTCAAAATGAAAAAGGGCCTGGAAATGAGGTTCAATACAGATAGATTCGGGCTTAATCATCAATATAATTGAAACTCACGGTGTATTTGTTTATACTACTTATGAATTTAATGCAGGYGTGTTAGAATTGGGAAGAAAAGCGTGCTTTGTAAAGCAATTTGCGCATGATCAGATAGTCCCATTTATCTGTTACCTTTATCCATACCATGATGCACTTCGACAAAAACAATATTWCGTCATAATGTCACTCGTCTTTTCTCTCCAGATTCAAGAGTTTACAATGGTACTTGTCCTCTTCCTTTTTGGTTCTCGGTGCTTCGGCGCCGCAGACTACTTTATGATCGGTGAACAAGAATTCTTCGTTCGTACGCTGTTCTTCCATATATGGTTTATTCCGCTTTGTCCGATGAAAAGTTTTATCAGCAAAAGTCCAGGAAACGGAGAATGTGAGGCTTGTACTCAGTGCAACAACTCCTATGTTGTGCAACTACCATCTCTCGTTTGCAAAACTGTACTTTGGGCCTGGATCAGATTCTTTGCGTTTCTAATCCCACCCTTGTGGCCGCTGGTATTTATGTACAAACCAAAAGCTTCGCCAGAGAGACGGGAGGTTTATGTGCAAGCTCTTGGCAGGGTTGTGGCTGCGGCTAGAGCCAACAGGCAGCAGCAGGCGAATGTTCGAGTTGTTGCCCAGACAATAGTCGAGCCACCTGCCMCGATAGTAGGCGAGCCGCCTGCCCCGATAGTAGTCGAGCCGCCTCCGGAATATGTTGAAACTGTCGCTGAAGGCAAACATGGCAAAGGTGGTTACACCCGGTTCCAATAGAYTACACTATTATAGTTCAAATTTTTAATGTTTAGAACAAAACTCCATTAGCCTTAGATAGTTTTGCAATGAAACMAAAATATTGGCGGATTTCTTTTTTTTAGTTGCATATTACCTAAAAAATATGAGCTTATTCGGTTTATTGTTCATCCTTTTTTTGTATTTAAGTATTTGTGGAGTGGGTATTTTCCTTAAGTAGAATCGTTGCTATTTTACCAAATCATCCTCCTATCAAAAGTCAAACGGCCAGCCCCTAAATTTGATTGCTTCATTCCCATRAAGCAACAATAGTCTCCAACTTGAAAAGTAGCCGTACCTTGTAATCAAATCGAGACAACCGTTGAGCGTGCAATGATAGAAACCTGTGAATAATTGTCTCTAGGTGTGAAAGAATGTTTCTGTCATTACACGCTCAACGGTCGTCTCACTTCGATGCAAAGGCACGGCTACCTTTCAAGGAACCGTGAAGAAGTTTCAGTTTCCAATCCTCAATCGGCTTGATGCGAAAGCGTTGTCGATTAATAAACGTAGATGTAGATGTAGGGGAGGGGAGGGTCCGGCAATTATTCTTGTGTGTTTCAGATACCGGTATTCATATTACATTGTATCATTATCCAAAAACTTCCTGTTTCTCATTGACCAGCGAGATCAACTCCACTAAAAGGTCATTGAATAGAAAGTTTCGACACACAAGGTGAGAGAAAGTCTCCCATCTCCTCAATTTTATAATTTTAACTTTCCTCTATATGAATATTTTGAAATTTGAAATTTGATGCGATGAAGTATTTCGAGTTTCAACAGAATAATTACCGTTAGATTAGCTGAAACTGCCCTTCACTTTCGTGGTCGAAACTTTTAAGGGCGAAATATCCTTTGATTTTTCTTCTTTGATGAATGGAAATTAAAAGTTTATTAGCCTATATGAGTGATGATGATGTTAGCAGTGGCATGGGAGCTGGGCATTTTCTACACGCGGTTTAATTGAAAAACTATAAATCGTTTCCGCAAGAGCTTAAACAACTCAAAAATTAGAATAATCCAGTTTCGAGATCTTATTTGTGCAGCCTTAACCTGGAAAGCGTGGAATATATTCTTTTATTCAGCAGAGATGCTATTGCATTGAATGTAAACAATTTGTGTACAAAAAAGGCAATAAAAATTTATGCTTGATTGAGGCTAAGATTGCACAAATTAGAATTCGAAACTGGAGTATTGCAAAACTAGAATTTTAGCTTTATATAATGCCATATGTCAAGAATACAGCAGCTACAGTTAACGGACATTCGCAGGCAGATAGCCAAGCGGAAACGTTTGGTATGAATTCGCCTTTTTTCGTTCAAAGCGAACGACCGCTGTTTTTGTCTTTTAGTAGACATCAGACTCAATTGCGCAGAGACCTTACAAAAAAAAAAAAACACAAAAAGATGATGACATTACAATATATAAATAAATTTGAATCTTCACCGATATTGAGGCCTAGGGATTGAGCCTTTTGGGAATTTAAGCTTATCCTCAAATCAGAGAAAATACAAATTTGTTGGACTATTGTCATGAAGATACTTCTTTGTGCTTTCTTTATTTTATTTTTGTTTGTTTGTTTTTTGTTTGTTGTTGTTTTTTTGAAAGAACTCTGCGCATTAGAGATTCGGTTGTCACAAACAAAAGATTTTTGCCTGCCCACTGTGTATTTATACCCGATAAAATATTCTCATTTTTTACTTTAACTATAGACCCCTTGTATGTGGTGTCAAAGTAGCTTCATCTGGAGGACAAAACAAAAGATTTTTGCCCTCTTGAGAACTAGAATCCATTCATTTGTCCTCCAGTTGGAATTGCATTCCCACGAACTGCAAGGGGTCTATGTGGAAACTTCGTGCTTTGAAATAATGAAAACAGCATCAAAATTTCGCCATCTTAATACCTTTATCCATACCATGATGCACTTCGCCAAAACCAATATGACGTCATCATGTCATTCGCCTTTTCTCTCCAGATTCAAGAGTTTGCAATGGTGTTTTTCCTTTTCGTCTTTGGTTTTCGGTTCTTCGGYGCCGCAGACTACTTTATGATCGGCCAACAAGAATTCTTCGTTCGTACGAGGTTCTTTCATATAATGTTTATTCCGCTGTGTCCGTTGGGAATGGTTTATTCCGCTTTGTCCGATGAAAAGTTTTATCAGCAAAAGTCCAGGAAACGGAGAATGTGAGGCTTGTACTCAGTGCAACAACTCCTATGTTGTGCAACTACCATCTCTCGTTTGCAAAACTGTACTTTGGGCCTGGATCAGATTCTTTGCGTTTCTAATCCCACCCTTGTGGCYGCTGGTATTTATGTACAAACCAAAAGCTTCGCCAGAAAGACGGGAGGTTTATGTGCAAGCTATTGCCGGYAGGGTTGTGGCTGCGTCTAGAGCCAACAGGCACCAAGTTGATGTTCGAGTTGCTGCCCCGATAGTAGTCGAGCCGCCTCCGAAATATGTCGAAACTGTTGCTGATGGCAAAGGTGGTTATACCCGATTCCAATAGAGATTACACTATAATAGTTAACAAACTCCATTAAGGCCGATTTAGACGGTACGAYTTTTGCCTACAACTATCGCATGCAACCTGATTAGGTCATCCTTACGACATAGCTACAACTGTCGTGAGGCTACAGCAATTGTTTAATATCCCCACGACAGTTGTAGCCTTGTTGTAAGGATGACTTACGCAGGTTGCATGYGATGGTTGTAGACAAAAGTTGCGCCGTCTAAATCGGCCTTTGGCCTTAGATGGTTTTGCAATGAAACCGAAAAATTRGTAAATTTCTTCATTTCTTTTAGTTGCATATTACCCAGTAAAAATATGAAGTTAAAGTYGGTTTATCGATACTTCTCTTCTGTATATTTTAGTATAGTGTTTGTGATGTACCAATGTGATGACGTCTCTGCATGAGCTCTATCGGAGTACTATAGGAGTATTACAATAATTATATACACTTGGTTCACTTCATTTATAGATTCTTGATTTTATGGAAATTTAATCAATTTATAAAAAGAGAGTTCTGTGTATGAATCATTTACAACGAATTGAACAAGAACTACTATCTCAGTCATCTTTTCAACGGACATTTCCATGTTGTTACCCTTCTTTTCGTGTTTAAAAATCGTTCTTATTCAGGTATTTGACATTTAGGCTTTCTTGCGTACACATTAAAAAAATATTGGATTGTTTTSGATCAACATGCCGGAAGAGTGGGGTCCTTCATGGTTCCRTGCGCCATCTTGAAAGGTAACCATGCCTTTGCGTCGAAAGATGGATAGACTTCCAGTAATCGCGCAATGATACAGACCTTTCACACTACAAAAATTATTCACGGACTTCACGGGTACCTATCAATGCAAGCTTAACGTCGTCTCKCTTCGATGCAAAGACACGGCTACCTTTCAAGATGGCGCAGGGGCACAAGACTTCTCTGCTTAGTATTTCGTAATCGTTTTTTCATTTTGTGCAGGCATGAAAATCTAACCATAGTAAATAATCTTCTTCACGGATCCCTGCTCCATCTTGAAAGGTAGCCGTGCCTTTACATCGAAGCGAGACGACCGTTGAGCGTGCAAATGATAGAAACCTTCTTTCACACCTAGAGACAATTATTCACAGGTATCTATCACTTAACGCTCAACGGTTGTCTCGATTCGATGTAAAGGCACGGCTACCTTTCAAGATGGCGCAGGTAACCGTGTAGGAGACTACGGATACAAGTTGTAGAAATTTAGATAAAGAAGAACGCCGCAAAGAGACCAATTGCCCCAGAGAACAGCCAGCCGGACAATGCTGCAGCCGAGCTATCAACATATTTACAGTTGTCACTTGGTTTAGGCAAAGGTGTAGTGATTTTTGGTATCGGGATTTGGTACTTGTCTTGTATTGCTACCTGCATAACGTAATCAATCATTAAATCAATCAATCAATCAATCAATTAATCAATCAATCAAYCAATCATTCTATCAACCAATCAATCAATCAATTAATCATTTTAAAAATCACATCAATCAATCATTTAATCAATCAATCATTTAGATCACCCATTACTTATTCAGCCAATCATTCAATCAACCATCCCACAAATCAATCACTAAATCAAGCAATCATACAATCAAGCAATAATCCCATAAATCATTCACTTATACTCACCTCGAAGGTACGATTTATCTTCGGGTTGCATTGATAATTCTCGAAGAAGCCAGCTTGGTCATCAATCATTTTCTTATAGTCGTCGACCATTTCCTTGGTCCATGTTTTGTTGCTCACCGGGATAGGGTTCCAACCGACCCATCTCTTGTCCTTGAGATCTCTGAGGCGATATATAAAACACATGACTATATCAGCTATGAACCTATCAAAGGCAATTCTGCTTTCGTGTTAACGTTTGGAGATTTTCACACGTGTGTAAGTTTTTTACGTTTTCCCTTCATTGGTACAATCTTCGTTGATTTTTACAATGATTTTTACAAGTCTCCGTTCTGATTTTCGCAAGCGAGTGCGCCACATACGTCTCCGCTCCCCAGAGTCACGTAAGTAGATTACGTCTGAGTCTCCGCTCCTTTAAGAGCCACAGTCTCTTTTTGCTGATTTACACAAACGCGTAATTAAATTAGCTTACGTCTCCGTCTCCACTCCCTTCATCAGTACTGTCTCCGTTCGCTGAATATCGAATTACTCACGCATAAGTCGCTTACGCCTCGTACGTACGTAACGCACGTACGTAAATTTTACACGTGTCCGTGTCTCCACTCTCTTCGACTTTTCAAGCGTGCGCAAGTGGCTTACGTTTCTATTTTACACTTACGGATAGTATTTATCTATCAGCGCTGATCCGGCTTGAAGGTCTTTAGACGTACAAACGGTGCTGAGATTGGGTATCAAGGGATAGTAGAAGATGAAGTTCAGGCACATCTCCTCTCTGGTGGATTCCCCTCCCTGTTGAATATCAAAATATCAATAGATTCATTGCTCAGTGTAACATTTCCGGGGGGGATCAGCAAAACATTTTCCGCATAATCCTACAGTATTTCGTGTGGTTTTAACTTACAAATGTTGGTTTTTGTCTATCCATTGTATTGTAGATACATGTATGGATTAAGTCATCTCCCTGTAAATAATAAGAAAAATATACAATAATAATAAATAATAATAAAAGTACARTAATTCGTGCACATAATGGATATTATTTTATATCACAATAGTCTCCTTCACGGTTCCCTGCGCCATCTTGAAAGGTAGCCGTGCCTTTACATCGAATCGAGACAACCGTTGAGCATGCAGTGATAGAAACCTACAGACAATTATTTACAGGTATCTATCATTGCACGCTCAACGATTGTCTCTCTTCGATGCAAAGGTATGGCTACCTTTCAGGATGGCGCAGGAAACCGTGAAGAAGACTATTGTGAAACTTGACGATTCGAAGAACCCAACGGTGGTAAATAAGAGGACACGAGAAAATACCATAAATTTGTTTTTAAATATAAACAATCGCTAAATTTCAGCAAGCAGGCGCTCTCATTGGTTACTCTACAGCTAGGCTATCAGCTCATATACACTGACAAATACAGTGTAATCGAGGTTATACATCAAATATATCTACTACGAGGGACTGTAATATACTCACAGGTTTGAAGTGGACTTCCTTTTGCAGAAACTGAATATCCTGCATAGCATAAAATATTCAGTGTACAAGCTTAAAAGGTAGAAGCCACGATGGTGATATTTACTGCAGGTATATCCGAATAATTTGCTATTTTTTACTTATATCTTTTTCGTTATTTTTCCTTTGAAAAGGATGGATATTGTTACGACTTCATTGATTTTTTTGTAGGTTTYGTCCGCTGCATAAAGGATGTATCCGGTGGATATTCACGCTTCGTAAACCTTTCGTACATCTTTCGTACACCCTTCGTGCACCATTGGTACAACATTCGTAGATCCTTCGTTCACTTTTCGTACATCTTTCTTTCACCATCAAACACCTTTCGTACATCTTTTGTACACCCTTCGCTTTCGTACACCTTCGTACACTACACGTTTTCTTATATTTACCTGGAAGTTAAAATCATAGTTGTCGTCGCGAGCAATCTCCGGCAATTCCACTCCATTCCTGATATGTTTTGTCCAAGTAGCACGTCCTTGAAATAAACAAAAAAACCTTTAGAATCAGCGGTTATAATGATATTGCGCATGTGCAAAAAATGTCAGAGTTCCAGACTGATTACCTGTCAAATGAGTGTGCAAAAACGCCGAAAACATTTTGATTCCTCCTCCAGGCAACGAGCTGTTTTTCAAAACCTAAATCGGACAAAGAGGGCATAGTACTCCAGTTTCCAATTGTCCAATTTATCATTTTAACCCATTCTCATGACATTTAAAAGATAAAAGACCGGCGGCCATGTTGGAGGAATGAACAATAATGATACTAATGAGAAATCCTTTCCTGAAGTTCATCCAAGATGGCCGCTGTGACGTATATTGAAAATGAAGAATGCTCTGTGTTAATTAGCCTCATTTTGCATGAGATTTTCAATCAATTTTATTGTCTTTTTTCACAAATTCCAACTTTTTTCGTTGTCACTGAACCTGAGTTAGGAAAGTCATGAGGACTCACAGTGGGAGGGGTAGGGGTAGTTCTTATACCTCTTCTGTGCATTGTCTTCTACAATATCCATCAGTCCTCCAGGCTTGTTGCTGTGGAGGGACCATCAACCATGTTGACACGCCAGAACCGACCATCCAAACCGCTGCATCGTTTTCCCTGGGCTTGTCAGTGTAATAGTACCTCACCCCAGAATTGTCAAAGAAACCTTAATTGAATGGATACGTGATCAATCGATTAGCCAATCAATTAATCAATTAATTAATCAATCAATCAATCAATCAATCAGTCTATCCAACCATCCATCGATCAATCAAATCAGTCAATCAAATTAATCAATCAATCAACCAATCCACCAACCAGCCCACCAACCAACCAACCAGCCAGCCAGCCAACCAACCAACCAACCAACCAGTCAACCAACGGACCAGCCAACCAACCTACCAACCAACCAACCTTCCAACAACCAACCAACCAACCAACCAACCAGCCAACCAACCAACCCACTCACAAGCTTACCAACAAACCAACTATGCCAACCAAGCAATCAGGTAATCAATTAAACAATTAACCAAACCAACCAACCATCAATAAATCTATCAGTTATTAAACAACAATTAATCTAATCAACCAATTAATCAAACTTAACTCGTCCTTACAAACTGATCCACTATATACACCTACTTGCAGAAACGTTGTCATAGAAAATAGAACATTTGAATTTAGTAAAAAAGAATAAATTRAAACAAGACAAAAGAGTGCGTTCAGCCTCAGTGATYTTCTTTTGTCTTTTTTAATTTATTCCTTTTTACTAAATACAAATGTCCTATTTTCTATGACGCGTTTCCGCAAGCTGTAGGTGTAAACAAACAGGAAGAAAAAGATTAAACCGTAGATAGATAAATACCAGACTGCTCTTTAGGATTGTCGTAATGAACCTCCATGACGAAATGCTTTCCAATATACTTCGCTCCGATAGGAAACCCGACATGGTTGGGATATACAAAAGGCTGGAAAAAAAGCGATATAAATTTGACAGTTGCAGATTGAATGACATCAATCAAAAAGATAACAAGTAAGCCCAGAAATCATCATGAGTTGGGGCCGGTTTTACTAAAATCTATTATATACTATATATATTAAAATAACTGTCCTTTTGAAAGTTGAAATTCAAATTGATCGTTTTCACTTATTTCCATGAGATTCAAAAGATAAAAGACCGGCGGCTATGTTGGAGGAATGAACAATAGATACTAATGAGAAATCTTTTGCTGAAGTTCCTCCAAGATGGCCTCTGCTGAAAACGAAGCATTCGTGCGTGTCGCTCGTATCTTCTCTGCCTGCTTAATGCCGTTTCCTCGTGTGTGTTTTTGTCGTGTTGTCCATAATTCCTAGCGTTCTTGCTKTGACGTAATAGTATACTAATAACTGACATACTCACCCCTCCTCCAATTCCCCATGCTGAAACCATCATTCCCATTCCACGGCATTTCAAAACCTCTTGTGGCATGTTTCTTTTGTCATCACAATCGCCAGATATGTTATGGTAGTGTTCTGGGAAATCTGGATCACAGGCCATGACGACAAAATGATGAACAATGCCTTCATTGCCCCGCTCCACGACAGGGTCAAACTGGGAAAAAGAAATGAAATAAAGCAAACGAAAAAGAAATGGAAATGAAAAGGTAGAAATAAATGAATTATTTAGGGTTCACTAAATGATAGAGTGCAGAGTGCAGAGTGCAGAGTGCAGAGTGCAGAGTGCAGAGTGCAGAGTGCAGAGTGCAGAGCAGAGCAGCTACCTACTCGAACAATATGCTTCTTTCCAACAAATTCTGGAATCCTATGAACGGAGCAGTGGTAGGTGGTATGGTGGGCTGGTACACTATACTGGAGACAAACACAAAAATACGAGTTAAAACTTTGTATACTTTGTATGGATTTTATCGCACTGGATAAAACTTTATCACAGGGAGCATTTTACCGCTATTTTTACGATTTGTATGATGTTATTGATTCGTGAGTTTCTCACTTGGATTGCAACAAAATCAAACAAAACTTTCACATAATGTTACTGATGTATGCAAGAACTCCCTGGCGAAGATCCAGCCAATTTGGTTGAGTTTATGTACCTTCACACCACCAGACAAAGGGGATTGTTTCATACATCAATAACAGGATATAATAGTTTTGTGTGATTTCGTTGCAATCCAAGTAAGAAATTCACGATTCAATAACATCTGATACAAATTGTAAAAATAACGGTAAAATATAAAGAAGAGCCTGTGCTCCCAGTGGATTTATGCGGTGGATATCGCTATYTGTCTTTCTTACAACCGACCTGTGATGCAACGCTGTTTTATCCTTCATTTTACTCACGTTTTTATTCAAAATTTCAAAATGCTTCCAGGAAGGGTCCGGATCGTTCCTATTTCCCTGTGAATTCATCAACAAAATACTTCGTATTCCTTTGAAGGTATGCTTAGGGATACTCTTGGGGGACTCGRGATCGTTGTCGTTCAGTGCAAAAATCACCTTTGTAGTACCCTCCTGGGGAACAAAAATAAAAGTGAAAAAATGTAAATGAGCATGATTTTTCGTGTTAGGACACAGGAAGCCCGCCGCTAACTGCGCATTTTACCTTAAGTTTTAGGTCCTGTTTATCACAAGTGTCAACTTTTCGGCTGAACTTGATGATAGTACGGCCATTGTCTTCCATGCCAGAGATYAACTTGTAGTCATTGTGGTCGTCTAAAGCGGGGTAATGACCAACACCATGTCGATCCTGAGATGATATTAATCATCAGTCAATCAACCACCCAAATAACCAACCGACCGGTCAATTTAAGCTCAGTCCGCGTAACCCAAGTATCAGGTTCATTGGAAAATATTACACGTTTTTAAACGGTAAATGAGGTTCAAAGCTATATCCGCTACAAGACTGAGAATTTTTAACAACTGAAAGTGAATATATAATTATGGCAATCCCGAGATTATTTGCAGGCTCAAGACTGTGGACTGTCTCCTGACGCAACAACGTTTTTTTGGTTGATAGATTTTTGCGGCTTGATCACTTTCAGATGGTTGACTGGCTAGCTCGTTCCCAGAGCCATATTCCGCGTTGTGTAGGCTTTAGTGATAGTATCAAGTCCTCTCTGTTTTGGACTCAGTGCGACTGTCAATCATTCCGTCCTCCTACGAAAACAGTATTTTTTTTTCTTCTTGGTCTTCCTGTGTTAACACAGGAGTCCCACGGATTAGGAGGCTAGGCCAATCATGGAGCTGTCTTTAATCAATCAACCGCTGGATCAACTTTTATAGTTAAAATAGTCAAATTTTGTATAATTAGTGAAAAATGGTCGAATCGTGAATAAACTAAATTTAGTGTGCACGTGCAATTAGTCGAGCAACGDCAATACGCTTTCACGGTCCAGTGATCACACTAAATTAATCATA